GGAAATAACATTTAAACTATGATTATTAAAGGGATATTTTCGACCACATTTTGCATTTTGCTATCAAAAATAACACTTTTACTAATCATATCAGAATCTTTATGACAAAGCTTTCATAAAACTATTGTAATGAGCAGAATCTAAAATTTTATTCTGAACTGATTTTAAGCATACGACAAAGATTAAGCAACTTAAGAAAAAATAATAGGTATTTTTTGAAAAAAGAATGTTTTGAAGTCTAATAGAAACTGCTCGGTGACATTATAATTTGAAATTGAAAAATACCCGCCATTTACTCAAGCAGTGAGGTCTAACGTTTTCTAAAATTTGAAAAGATTGACCTTCAATTCGATATATCATTATCTGGTTTCAAATTAGTATTTTGTCCTTCTAGACAGATATAAAAAACAAATGTTATTTTAAAAATCGCTAATTTCTTTTTTCGCTGTGAATTTGCTCAGTTTTTATTCAATTTAATTAATCATAGTATTTATGAATCGATTTTAATACTGTTAAAATTCGTAAATTATGATTACAGGTGATTGTGAATCGAAACCATCAGGCTCACAGTCACTAGCAACACTTCGCGAAAGGTCAAAAATTACGATGTTTTAAACAATTTTGAATATTTAATAATAATAATAATAATAAATGTAGTGCGATTTAGGTGGCTTCAAACAGTTTTTGATGAAGCAGATACAGGCAAAATTGGTTACATTCGAGAAAACCAAGCTGTGCAATTAATCAAGCAGCTTAATCCAAGAATATTATTGAGCAGAATTAAGCATAAAGTCAAAGTAACAATTTTTGAAAATTGTCAAAAAAGATAAACAATTAATTTGAAAACAAATAATAGTAAAAACTATTTCGTGCATCAAATACTTACGTAAATGACTTGAAGATTTATTGCCAAATTCTTGGAAAATTAAAATTGAACGTTGCTCGTAATTTTTTTTTAAATACAGTGAGATAGAAATCTCGTGTACATATCGAAAATTATCCTAAATTTGTTTATTGAAAATTTTTTAAGTTTCTTTTTATTTTTATTTAGATAAATTTTTTGAGATAATTTTGAGTTTAAAGACTTTAATGATTAAAATATTCTTTATAAATAATAAAATGCATAATGTCTAGGAAGTATGCGTACTCAATTCCAAGGAATCAGAACGTGGCAGAGTAACTCGATCACAATTCATTGAAATAACAAAGGCACCAAAAAATTTTTACTTTTTAAAAATATGTTTGATTATAGTTTTTAATCAGTATTCAACTTTATTCATTTTAATTGAAGTATTTCAGTTTTAATTTTCAGTTTTGACTTTATTTTCCAAGTATGAAAAGCTCTAATTACCTTAACAAAAAGTTATTTTGTTATTTTTCAGTCACAACCAAAATAATATGAAATTCTGTAAACAAAAATTAATCAAAATTATGCAAAATTTCAGCATTTGATACAAATTTTTGCGGAAGCTTATAAGTTTTTGAGTTGATTACAATCTTTTTCCCTCTTTTAAAATGAATAAATAATTCGTTTTATTTAATAAACTTATTGATATCCCTCAACTTTTAATTAACTTGTTCATACCCTTTAACAATAGGCAATTAAGTATTTTTAGGATGTCGCAACAAGGCCTGAAAGCTACTTTTTAATGGTGCAATATGCTAATAAAGATTATTTAACTTGCAAAGATCTTCAGCTATTCCTGGAAACAGAACAAGGGGTTTTATCTTAGATATTTCATATTACTGATACTATCATTTATTTCAGTGACCCATAAAGAATTAATCATTTAATTATATTATTAACTTAAGTAATTAATTCATTTTGAGTATGGTTTAAACAAATTCAACACGAATAATTCAAACTTTACAAAGCTTTACTACAAATTCCTCTTGCATATGGAAACATTTTACTGCTTTGATATTAGGCCACAAAAAATTACTTACTTTTTTCAGTACTGTATTATCCTTACTCATGATTATTCTCTCGAAAAAATTAAATTTTTGGATAAAAATACAAGGAGATGAATAAAAGTAATAATAATAAAATTGCCTTTTTGTCAATAAAACTATAAAAAGTAATGTTACAGTTATTGGGTGTTACGATAGATTTTTGTAAAACGATTATTGACCAATACGAACCTTGCATTGAGGCTCGTAAACTTAATTTTATGACCATTGATGGTAAAGTTTAATTAAATTTACTATTATATCCAAATCTGTCACTTCAAATATAATTATATACTTTACTTTGAGCATAAATATTAAAAAATTTTAATTACATACATCATTAATGAAAATAGACATGTTCAAAGTAAAATATTTATGGCATGCTAAAAATAATTATGATTTACAAAGTTTTTACTAATATTTGTCAAAATTATATTTACTTTTAATAATAACTAAAATTAATATATTATAGGCATAAAATTTTTTCAGGTATAAAATAGAAATTAACAAGTTCTACTCAATATTATTATTAGAGTGAAAAATTATTCCATTTTTATCATTGAAATAACTAAATTTGAGTATTTTTGAATGAACTTTGCACTTTAATTTGAACATATTAGTAATTAGTGGAGCAATTTTTGACAACACTGCAGATTTAATTTTTTATTAAGCATTTTTAACTGTATGACTTTTGTTTTATTTTAGATCTTTTAAATACAGTACAGTGCAATTCAAATTTTTCAATTTCATTGTGATAAATTTTAAATTTTATTCCTATCACAAAATTTTTTGTTTTTTATTGAAAAAGTTATTTCATATTGCAAATTATAACCTTTAACTTTAAGGTTTTACTAATTATCTGAATAGTGAAGAAAATTACTTATTTGATATGACACATCGGAAGGTATGCCAAGAAATGAATCAACCCTTTAACAATTATTTTATTGCAACGTCACTTAATGCGTATCCGTGGACAGATCAACAAAAAGATCTCTCAGACTCTAATGCTTACACGTTTTTTTTACGCAAGAATTGCCGATTTATAGAATGTTAGCTTTTTTTGTTAATTCTAAATTAGAATTGTCGAGTACATAAGTTCGAAAAAGTTACTCTTTGATATCCAACAAAAAATATGTAAAATACAAAGTTTATCATTCATATAGTTTTCTCACTGTCAAATTTTTTTTTTAAATATATGCGAAAATTTTTTTTCAATTTTCTAGAATTTGGCTAAATAATTTGGCTTTACAAAACTTAAATTTTTGCTGGATGTGTTATTTTGTATGAAAATACTTTATTAATGGAAAATTTTAAGATTTTGAAATTGTAGCACACTGCAAAATTATTAAACGTTGAATTATATATAAAAATTATTGTAAAAGTCTATATATATATATACTGAATATTGTATCTTAATAAAGTGTTTTCTAGTATTGCAATTGCTTTTCTTTCCGTCATGAATAATCTTTTACTCATATTTCTAATCATGAAGTATTAGTTTGAAGTATAAAACGTAAAAGTATGCAAATTTTTTTCAAGAAAGCTGATAGATCAATGAAGTTAAATAAAATGCAAGACTTAATTCTTTTCCGTTAAATTCTGTTCCGTTCAAGTATCCTAAATATTATTGCAGTAAATGTATGGGAACCAGCGGAAAATAGTGATGAGATTGAGTTAATGATTTATAATGGTTACGGTTCATCAAAATCTGCCTTACCAAAAATCTTAAATGTTATTAACCAAACGGCTTTTGAAAGAACAAGGTAATCTTAAAGCATACATTTATACAGAAACTTAAAACAGTAAATTTTGCTAAGGAGCAAATTAAATTAATTATTATTAAATATTAATTTTTAATCGCAAAATTTTTAAGTATAATCTATAAGTTTTATTTTTAACGATAATCTTTTCGTCAATCTTTTCTATTAGCTATTTGCGATTTATTTTTTTGCTACTAACGATGTTTTATAATTTCAGATTATGCTATGTTATTAGATAAAATGAATACTTTATGTTTTAATTGTAAATAATAGCATATTAATTTTTATATGCTATCTATTAAATATTATTACTGAATATAATATTAGTAATGTGATTGATTGTAAGTTATACAAAACATTATAGATATCCGTTATTCATACGATTTGATATTCATCTAAGCATCAAATGGCAATTAGTACTCATTACAATGTTAAACAACATCTTTGGAAAAAAATTATACAAACCAAAAAATGATCTTTGCGATTGGACAAAAAGTTTACAACAACCCACACCGAAAGACTTTCAGATGAAAATCATTCTTGTCGTATGTTTCACTCAAAAATTTTTCATTTCATTTTCAAAATTTTTAAAATTGCTCTCTACATTGTGTATAGAATTTATTTTTAATGGGTTTTGTTAAAGCAATTTGAATCAAAAGCACATATTTTACTTTAGATCAAAAAGTCAGATATTTAAATATAATTAATTCCGAAAATTATTTTTATGCCGTTACTATTTTTATAAAAGCATTTTAAAATATTTCAGGAAGAGAGTTACTATATAATAAAGTAATAATAGCAAGTTTCCCTAAGTAATAGTAAGTTACTATCATTACTTTATTATATAGTAACTGCTATTAATACTATAGAAAATTATTACTTTAGGGAAAAGAGAATGCTGAAAAAATTGATGAAGAAAATGAAAAGCAAAATTATATGACTCGATTAAATAATATCCCAAAATTCACCAAACCTATGCCTATTTGTGAAAAATTGTCCGAATTAATGTGTCCTTGGATAATGCCTGTGATTATTAAGAATGCATCGTCAATTATGCAAAACACTTGTAAGTTTTAGTCTTAGAAAAAAAGCAATTTTTTATATTAATTATTATAGTAACAATAAAAATATTAATAATAGCTTTCAAAAATACAAATAAATAATACTTTCATTTTATATGCTTTTGTGTTATTTATACTGAAATAAAACCGAAACTGATATAATAACAAAAAAGTGTTATAATAAGCGTAACTGTTAAGTATATCCATGCAAACAATACACAGTAACTTTCGTATATTGTTTTTGACTTCATTTATGACTACATCACTTTCGTCTATTTGAAAATGATACACATAAATTCTTCCTATGTTTCCCAAATGTAAATAAACGTTAATAAAATATTTTTTCAATAATTCTAAACTGCTATATAAATAATTTATCTATTACTAAAGCTTTATCATTTTATCAGTTGATGTTATCAGAACAAAACTTGCAAAAAATGTAATATTAATTTGCAGTGAATGAAAAATGTCAATTATTATTGCTGTCAGAATGCGATTGTTTGAGAATAATACAAAATCATCCAGTAAAAATTTCTCAAGCTGCCAAGGATTATTTAATATGTGTAACTCCGAATTCATCAAAGTAAATATTTGGTGATTTTTGAGCAAAGCTTTTTAATTTCTTTTTAATCTAACATTTTATTTCTCTTTATTTTGAGCCAATTTTTTTTAACAAGAATAAGCAGTAATGAATAGAATATTCATTTTAAGGACTGATAGTTTTGATTACTTTCTAAATGCAAAATTCTTCGTTAGCTTCAAACATTCCTCATTAATTTTACAAAAATGAAATTAAAATTTCTGTATGATAAGAAAAGTTGCCTAAATTGATTTGAATTAAATTTTGAATAATATTACGAATTCAGGTAGCATACAAAGTCACTTATTATATTTTGATCGTTAAACTTTTATTTTGTTGTTGCAGTGATGATACTTCAAATTTGAACCCACAAGAATTTTGGAACTTTGGTATTCAGATGGTGGCACTGAATTGCCAAACATCAGGGCTTATGATGGATTTACAAGTTTGTCCCAACTTTATGAATTAAATACAGCCTTTTTTTCTATGTGTAAAATAACTAGCGTTTTTTGAAAGGTGCATGTTAACTATAAAATAGCCAAATTTAGGAAGTTAAAATTGGTAAGCATTTTATAATTGAAGACATTGTTTTTATTGTGAATTTAGATCATATTAAACAATAAAAATTTTTGCTAGCTTCAGGAAGGCAAATTTTCCGAAAACGGTGGATGTGGATACGTTTTAAAACCATCGATTTTACGTGAGGAATGTTTTTTCACGCCTGGTGATAAAATACCTTTCCCACCGCAGGTTTTTTTGCTTGTAGTTTCGGAATACTATTTTATTTTTGCATATTTGCAAATGAATGTGAAAATTGATAGCAAAAATTTCAATCCATTTTTATGCTATCTGTATAAAATTTAAAAGCTGTACTTGCAAAAATGATAATTTGAAGAGTAAATATTTTTATGTATATTTGATTTACTTGTACAAATTTAAAAAATCGACTTAAATATGTAATTTAGAAAGTATATTCTGTATATTTTGGAATATATTTTGTTTGTGCAATTTGAGAAACTAAAAAATAAATAAAATTTTGTAGTGAAAAAATTAACTTTTAATTAAGTAAGTGGATCAATTTTCACTAATGAAAACATGAAATATTTTCCAATTTTAAAGATAATTTTTAGATTTTGCACTTGCGAATTCTTTCCGGTCAACAATTACCACGACCACGTGGATCAACTGCAAAAGGTGATTTCACAGATCCATATGTGGTCATAGAAATTTATGGATTCTCTTTGGACTATGCAGAAGAACGGACAAAAACTGCAAAAAATGATAGCAAGTTTTTCTTAAATTTTATGCAAAAATACAAGTTTTAAAACTGATCAAAAAATAATTTATTTGAGATTACACATTTTTTAAATTAGCACTGAGAATTTAAAAATAATACCTTGTAAGTAATAAATAACAAATTAAGTGAAAAATTATGAACAATGACAAAATTATAACATTTGCAGGCGCTAATCCAACATTTGATGAATCGTTCCAATTTCAAATAACTGTACCTGAAATGGCTTTGATTAGATTTTTAGTTCTGGATGATGATTTTATTAATGATGATTTTATTGGGCAATATACTATTCCATTTGAGTGCATGCAAAGTGGTTAGTAACTAACTTAGCTAATGACTAAAAAGTAAAAAAATTAAATCTGAACAAAAGCAAAATGGACTTAACTCCTTAAGTCTTAGATATGACTAATAAGAAGCTAATAATATCACATAAATTATTAATGTACATTTGTCTCAAACAGCATATAAGTAATTATTATATATGATTAAGGCCATTATTTATTTTTAATATCATATATTTAATTTCCTGTTTTTATCTTTGAGGAAAATTTTATTACATATTTTCTAAAATAAAATAGTAAATCAAATTGTTTGACTGACTTTTGTGGGAAACTTGAAAATAAATTTTAATAATAAAAAGAAGGAAAAGAAAACTGCTTTTATTTTAGCAGAACAAATCGAAAATTTGAAATTCGAAATTACTTTTTCAATTACAAAATTTAGAGTTATAATTCTGTCACATAGACTGCAAAAGTTAATTACAAAAATATTTTTGAATAATTACTTAAAGAATTGAACAGATTACATTAAATTTTGGTATTAGAATTTTCGTCAATTTCATTATCATTCACTGTAATTTAAAACTTTTTTGTGCTACATCGTTGCTTACAGTACTCAAAAATTGCTTTTTGGCTCGTTCAAAAAAGGGGCAGTTGAATTAACCTGATCATATGACTTATATAAAACTTTCATGTACATGAGAGTTAGTAATTATTTGATTAATAATTGTTTTATACCAATACAAGCAGTTTATTTGTTTTTTTAATCTCTTATAATTTATATGATAAATTTTTAGAATTAGCTTTTGCAATTTATGTAGCAAATTAGACTTTACGTAATATTTTCAATTTTTTGGCTCTGCAAAAAACAATGTTACTTTATAGGATATCGACATATACCATTACTGAACCGAGAGGGTGAAGTACTGGAGAACTGTACATTGTTTATTCACGTTGCTATAACTAATCGTTGTGGAGGAGGGGTAAAGTTAGATTTAACTTTACTTTACAAAAATGTACAAATTCAATGCATTTATTTCATGACTATTACTGTACAAAAAATACAGTAATCGAACTTTTGATCTCAAAAACATATTGATATTTTAGATTGCCCAATCAATTATAGAACATAATAATACAAAAATGTCGATGACTGCTTCAATTGACTGATTTTTCAAGTTTTTTAATTAAGTTTTTTTAGGTGAGAATGGCATATTTTAAATAAACTAATGCAAAATTCAACAACTTTAGCATAAAATTATTATTGAACTTAAATATGTAATAGTGATACTGTCATACTGGAGTTCAATTTGAATCTAAAAATATTTCAAGCAGCATAGAATTCTTCTAATGAAGCATTTCTTTGCAGTTTACTAAGCACTTTTTGAAGTTATTAGCTGACTTGCACATTTAGAGAACAGAATAAACTTGACAAAGATGTATTATTGAGAGTTATATCCCAAGTCAAAAACTGAATTGGATTTGAAATGTGTAAGTCATTTTCAGTGCTCTGAAAAAATTATATAGATATATTATATAAGAAAGAAAAATGGAAATGCTTTCGAGCGTCTTCTTGAGAACTATCGGTTGAATGTTTGTCTCGACGTGATCAGATATACTGATCTCCTTCGCGTAGCATTTGTGGAAGTTCGTTACAATCCTATCCCAAGTCATCATATACGGAATTATTTTGGTCCTGCAGTTCATCTCTGACCCAAGCTTATTAGCAAGTAGGTCATATTTTCTCTTTTTCTCGATCTCGAATGCTGTCAACCTGTTTTCACTAGTGATGCCAACCTCAATCAGGAGCACTTCACGTCGCTTGTTATCGTGCATCATATATTCGGTAGATTCACTTTTATTCTGATCGCGTTCTCATTCGCGTATTGACTCAGACCTCACGTTCTCATTCCCGACGACCCCCTGAACAGAATGGCTTCACATGCGTGGAAATGCTTTCAGACCATACTTCTTACAAAGTCCCAAATGGTTGTAGTGGAAGATCTCATTGTGTCTTCTAGTACAGTCGTGATATAACATTTTCTCGCACTGCGTTGCTGGATCGTCCATCGTCTTCACACGTTGCTTACAATGTTGCATATATCTTTCACGGCTCCAAACATATTTCTATTTTGGAGATAACAGTATCGTGCCTCATCTTGCGGGGTAATGTTTCCAAATCGTAGCCATTTTGATAAATCAGCTATGGATGAGACTTTATTCTTTCGGGTTTTGTTTTCTATTTCGCTTTACAAGAACGTCTTCTGGGCTGCTAATACGACTCCGACAACAGAATTTTCTGCGAGTTTGTATCTAGTTTTTAGATAGGGCACAATAACTGGCAAGTACGTGTTATGAGTTTTTTCCTGCTTCAGAATCACTGTTCTCCTGGCACATCTGGGCGTATATATTTATACACATGTATAATGTGCTGCTTCTAACCTATACACATGCATCCATCTGATGAAAATCACAATAAAAAAGCATATTCATATGTTGTTGTGCATATATAACAATCATACGCACTGCACATAATTACAGCTACATTGATGCTTTTTTTGCTTTATGAAAAAATTATATATATATATATATAT